CCCCAAAACCCCAAAACCCCAAAACCCCTAAGTACAATTACTAATTTATTTATTGATAATAGACAAAAATATTAAGAAAATTAAATTATAATGAGTTCACTCATCTTTATTTTTTATAAGTGACCTTATTTCAATACTTTGAAAGAATCTCAAGGTCGTATTCAGCTAACTAGTGCATGAAGGTTTCGTTGGGCTCGACCTCTGTTACATACTATCTCAATAGAGTCAATCCATCCTTAAGTTTCATTTTCTCTTTGCCTATTAGATAAGCTAATATGAAGGTAGCAGCTCTGCTCTTTCCCTGCACCGAGTGAACTAAAACTTTGCCTTATGCAGGTGATTTCCTTGCTTCGTCAATAAATCTATTGGTTATTCTGAAGTGCTTCTTAGCATCTTCGCTGTGGTTATCAAAGATCTGGATGTCAAGGTACTTGAAATACCTTCTTCTCTTCATGTACTCTCTGCAAGTGACATTCAAGATATGAGTCACGCCCATATCGATAAGTTATTTAGTCTTGAACCCAGCTTGGTATGGTCCCATAAGAATGCCGGGATATACTTCAAACAGATTTATTTCTCTTAAGGCGATTGAGCATTAGATGTCACAAGCACACACGTCCATATGGGGAAACCTACCACAGATAATGTTGTCTTCCTCGCCTGAGTACTTGCCTACCTCATTTGGCTTTTGATGAGCACTTGCAGTTACTGATCTATTGGATGAATGTCTTGATTAGACCTTGTGAGGTGAAAGACTTCCCCCAGCTCCAGTAGTAGTGGCATTATTCAAATTAGGAATGCCTAGATTACGCTCGCCCAAGGAGTTTCTTGACTGAAGTCTGGACTCGTACTTATTATTCTCTTCTGGAATTGGCTCAAATTGAGCATTCAGCATCATTGGATCGTTATCTTCTAAGAATTCCATATTTAAATTATTTTATTTCAATTTCTCAAATTTAGAATTATAAATATAATACTTGAGGGGTTTTGGGGTTTTGGGGTT